CATCAGTCCATGGTGGAGGATTCTTCTTTAATCGGTCATATAAGGGTTTAGCATCAAGAGCTAGATTTTGGTAAAAATCACTTATATAATTCAGACATCCTAAGAATCTTTGTAATTCAGTTTTATCTAAAATTTTGTCAGGAAATTTATCAGCAAAGAGAATGGATCTATCAATTGGGATAATTGTCCCCTGATTTATATTATGTCTTAAAAATGTAATTTTTGTTTGGAAAAGATTTAGCTTTTTAGCAGAGACTACTAATCCAGCATTTTTAACTGTGTGGATGAAAGTATGAAGGTGTTTAAAATGTTGTTCAAGAGATTCAGAGAATACTAGAACGTCATCAATATAAACTATCATGAATTTATAGAAAGGATTAAATATATCATTCATTATTTTCTGGAATTCAGATGGAGCATTTTTAAGACCAAAGGGCATAACATTCCATTTCATATTGTCCAAAAGGGACATTAAATGCTGTTTTATATTTATTTTCTTCCTTTATCTGTATTTGCCAAAAGCCAGATTTTAAATCAAATTTGGTGAAGATGACTGCATGTACGAGTCTATCGAGTAAATCTTTTTTATTTGGAATGGGATATCTAATCCATTGTAATACTTTATTGAGGGGTTTATAATTAATAACTAGTCGTGGAACTCCTCGTTCTTGTTTGGCGTTTTTATTGACATAAAAAGCAGAGCAGCTCTAGGGAGATAAATTGGGACGTATGAGTTTCTTATGAAGCAAATCTTTAATTTCATTATGACATGTTTGTAAAAATTCCGTATTCATCTGAATAGGTCGAGCTTTTGTTGGTATTTTCGTTTCACTAAAATTTGGTTCATATGGTAATCCAACAATATGTTGTTTTCTATGCCAAAAAGCGGTTGGTAGATCATTACATATTTCGTTTTCAATAAGACTTTTGAGTTGTTATATTTTTTGTATCATATCATTAGTTTGGAGTTTTTCACTGATAATCTTGTGTTTGATTTCAAGTCGTAACGATCCTATAAAATCTTCTTTTTGTTTGATATTTTGTTTGACAGTATTAATTTCTTTGATTTTTGGTTTATCAAGGAATTCAAATTTAATAGGGGTACCATGGGTATTTGTTTCAATACCTGTATGGGAAATAGTAATTGGATATAACAGAGTGAGGAAAGGTACGCCAAGGATTACAGCCTGGCTGAGTCCCTTGACCATAATAAATGGAGTAGGAAAACAATGTCCTTCTTTACAAATTTTAGCATTAGATAATTTGTATTTAATAAATAGTCTACCCCCATCCGCAGTGTTAAGGATTTGAGTAGTTTTATCGAAGTATTTTGTACGAACTAATCCTTCATTGAGGTAATTAAGATCAGCACCTGAATCAACTAAGGCTAGAGTTTGGAATTCATATTCATCACTTATTACAATGGTTACTAAGACAAACCATTTTTGTGTGATTACTCTATTTAATACATTTACTGATTTCCTGGTAGACGATTCGCATTGATTTATATAATCATTGGGATGATATGATTTGAGTAAGTGGTCAAATTCAATGGCATCTGAATCAGTGTCTATTTCGAAAGTTTTATTATGGAGTTCAAGAATTTGAATTCTATTTTTTAATTGGGTTACTTTTATCTTGACTGTATTTACTTCGGCTTTGAGTTCAGCAATAGTAGGTTCTTTTTGTGTAGCTTCATGCTGACTTACACGTTTCATTATATCAGAAAAGTTATAATTATCAGGAGGTTTGACTAATGGCATATGTTTTGTTTTTGTTTTAGTCAAATTAATAAATTGAGTAATTATTTCTCTTTTTTCATCGGGGTCAGAAATTTTCTCTATTAGGTCTAAAATAAGATTGTCTTCTTTTATTAGCGTATGAATATCAGAAGTTGTAATAGGACATTTACATATTTCTTCATCTGTGTCAGAATTACTATTTGTGGACCAATAAAAATCATCATTATGCATAGTTCCTATAAAAGATGTATCACTACTTGTTGAATTAGTGTCTGTATCTGAACTAGTAGATGAATCATATATTTGAATAATGTCATATATTTTATTTATGATTTGCTCATCTGATGTAATAGAGTCTAATTTTTGTTTGACTTTGCATTGGCTTTTATAATGGCCAACTTTTCCACATTTATAGCAAACAGGTAATTTCTTATTGTTTTGTTGGAATTTTTTAGATGCAAAACGTTTAGTAAATTTCTTATATTTGGTTGGAAAAGACTTGTGTGTTTTTTCGGGTTTATTAATGCGATGTTTTTTCTTTTTATATATTTTATGTGGTTTATTTTTATCAATATGATAGCCAAATTGTTGGCAGAAGTCTCCTAACTCTTTGTTACCACTTGTGTTTTGTTTATCAAGTTGCTTTTTGAGTTTCATATCTATGCATAGGGCTAAGCCTTCAGCACATATTTCAGAGGATAATTCACCTAAAGTATATTGAGAGTAATTGATTATACCACTATTTTTATTTTTCAGACGTTCTTTGACCTTTTCAGCGAATAGATATGGTAGTCCTGCTACGAACTTTTCTTTCTAGTGGTCAAGATGACTATCTTCTCGTATAAATAAACGAGAGAAAAAAACGTCTTTATACCATTTGTAGTGAGATAGTGTAGGACAACGTAAATTAGATAAAAGATCAGCAATTCGGGCTGCAAGTATTGAAGTATTTCCTATGAAATGAAGAGCAATTATATAAATCAGTGAATTGACAGCATCACTTTCAGAATATACCATATTCTGGTCGTGTTCATCTTTTGCTGTCCATTGACGAGTATTTGTTAATATTTGTTGTTTTGTTTGTTCATTGAGATAGGAATCCCACCATCCTCTTAGTCATCCAGTAAATCCTGAAACTATGGCTTTTGCTATTTCCTGATCATGGCTACCAGCCATTTTACATGCCGAAGCATACATAGTCATATGTTTCATTGTATCTAATATTCGGTGATCGGAAATTCCATCAATGTTCCAATCTATAATAGTTCGACCAGTATATGTAGAGGTATGACTTGTAAGGTCTTCTTCTAATTGGATATCAACTGGGGTTGGTCTCTTATAATATGGTCGGGCATTTATTGGTTGCCAATTTTTATTATAGTTGACTCGATTTATCGTATCCGGGGAAATATGATGTTCGGAAAATGCTTTTTGTATATTTGTTATTGTGTTGGTGATTGGCAGTTCAATATTTTCATTTTCTTGGAACATTATTTCTTCTTGAAGAGTCATATTATCATGTTCTGGGATTTTTGATTTTCCTCTATCGCTGTCTGGTATAATAATATTTTCTTTAGGTTTGGGACCTTTTATTTCTAAGTTGGATAATTTAGAAATTAATTGATCCATTAGTGTTTTATTATCATCACCTATATGAAATTTTTCTTTATTTAATTCAGGAGGAGGTTTAAAGAATAATTGTTTCTTTTCCTTATAGGTGGGAGGATGTAATAAGTTTTCTATTCTAATAGTTTGTTATCCAATAGTGTGAAGATAGAGATTCGTATAATTGTTTTGTTCAAATATGTGTGGGAGTAATTCCATACGAGATAAATTCACGTTGTTTAGTTTGTATGGTGTAGCTATTGTTTCGTATACAATCATTTGGGTTGAGGATCCTATATTATGCTCTGTGTTTGATCCTGTGGTGGCGGATCCTGTAGTCACTGTATCAGCTATTCCTTGTATTTTCAAACTTTGTTCAGGAGGATGTATGGCTTTGATTGTGTTTCCTTCAGTAGTATTGAATAATGTATACTGGGTTTCTAGTGTATTTATTTCAAAATCGGGAATAGGAATTTGTTTTTGGAGTAGGATGTCTTTTAACCAATCAAAAGAACATGTTCCTTTATTTCCTTGTTTTCTCCATTTGTTGAATCTTTTATGAAACAAAGATATTAATTTAGGATCAAAAGTTTCTACATACCATTTTCTGATATTTTTATTTTCGTGGGATAAATAATCATTTATGATAAATTCTTTATCCAATTTTTCTTCAAGTTGTAGTACATGAATGAATTCTGCTTCATCAGGTTCTTCCTGAGCCTGTTTATATTGAGGGATAATGATATTATCAGATGTTCTTAATAGTCCAACAATTTGTGGTTTTATTGGTGTTGATGGAATAGTTATGATGGGAGGAATTCTATTGTAAGTAGTAACAGATTTTCTAGCTGGTTCTGGTTCTGATTTTCGGAAAGAATAAGTACTTGAAGTACCCGAGATGGATGAATCATCCATTGGTTGCAAAATTCTATTATTTGTGAATTGGATTTCAATATTTCCATCTGTATATTCAATAATTTTATCTGGAATGTTTTGGATAGATGTTTGTGATGGTTGATTTTCATTATGGATAGACCATGTTTGTGGTAAGATAATATCTGACCATGATATTGTTTTTGGTATAATCGTATTGGATTTTTCCATATTGGTTTGGAAAAATATTGTTTGTCCTCTGGTATCTATTTGAAGTACATTTGGACATAACGTATTCTTAGTTTTATAATAAATACAATAAATGATGGCTATGTTTTGAGAACCTAACATCATATTAAATCCTTGAGTTTTTAGATTTAAAGATAAAACATTTAAAATATTTGGATCTGTAAGAGATATAAAATAAGTAGATCTATAAAGACCACACAGACCTAGCATGTTTGTGGTGGTCAAAATACACGTAAAAATCACGACGGATTGCATACCATATGTTGCAGTTATGTTTAATAAACCGCTACGGACATAGCATGTCCATGGCGGGGTGGGGTGATACATTGTTCAAAATCACCTATAGGCGTGTTTAAAAGTTTTCCATATATATATATATATGCTTGTCATTGTTTGGATTCATTGTCAGCATCAGAGGCACGAGGCGCATCTCTTTTGCCATAGACGGATATCATTGTTTAGGCTTGTTGATCAGTTTCCTATTTTGAGCTTTGTTAGTTTCTGATTTCTTTTTATTTTTTGACTGGGGAGCGAAACTGTGATTTGGATATGAGGAAAAGACACATTTTGGATCAAATTTTACAAGGACATATGTTCAAAACTTTGAAATAAGGGGGCTGAAATTAGGTCGCTAATTGGCTTAAGCTTCAGAAAGAATCCTGAAATCAGCCATAAAGGACAACTCGGTTTGACATTTCAAAATTTGGCTAATCGGCCATGAAATTCATTGATAAGGACAGTTTATCTATATGGGTGAATGACTATTGTTTGTTGCAGTTATGGCCTGCTAATCATTTTGATTGACATTAACCAGAACTCAAAAGGTGCGAGTCAGTTATTCTTAGAAAAGTATGTTATGATCCATATGATCACATGAAATATATGGTCATGAGCGCTATAACCATCGAATCGATGAGATTGAAGCATTAAATTCTATTACATGACCTACTTTTTCTCCATCACGGTCCAACCAATTGATTAGCTAGATACTAAATATTTCATGTGGCCTAATGCATTTTAGTTCAAATTTCCTTTTTTACTTTGTTAAAGGAAACCCTTATTTATCGTGGAAATTTCAGTCTATGATGTATGCCTGCAATTTTCAACTTAGAACATACATTAGGGATCTGAGAGAGCTGGATGCACATTCTACATTCATGCAAAATCATTACCTTTTTTATATTATATATTGGACTAAAAACATAAAACATGTTTATATGGTGTTTGTGTGCAGGATCAGAACACTGGGCACTTTGCAGCTACTGCCCAAGATGATTCCTGATAATATGCCTTTTTGTAGTACTTTTACTTTCTATTATCATTCAATATGCGTCCACATCAAGATTTGAACTTTGATGTACTGCATGAATACGATATTCAATCATTCTTTCTTTTGTTTTTTTCAATCACTGGTAATAAGATCTGTTATTGAAGGCATGCATGTTGCATTAAGATTTTCTATTACTGGCTATGAAGTATATAATAAGGCTTAGTCTTCGAGTATGAACCTCTCTTTTACTCATCTATTTGTATTGCTAACGTGCGCTTCTGATACACTGACAGTAGCATAGATGTCTATGATATGTTATGAAGGACTCTTAGTTTCTAGAGGTGGATTTGTTGACAACTGCCAAAAATTTCATCAAAAACGTTGAAAAGGTCTTTCGATGAAATTCTTGTGCTTTGATGCATATGGTTTTATTTTATAAAGGTAATTGGTCGTATTTTTAAAGATTTAAAATGGGTTTTTAAAAAAAGTAGAATATAGTGGGAACCAATTCTTTTATGATATTTTAATCAGGGTATTGAAACCCACGTTGGGATTAGTCCTTTGTCGTACCGATTCAGATTGAAAGCCCATCTCTGATTTGGATCGGTATTTCTTAGGGGTTAATAAAATGTTGATTACGCTGCTTCCCTGGATGGATTCTCTTGGGACATGACAGAATGATGTGATTCCAGCTGATTGAGATTGATATTCTCGGTTCCTTTGCGATTATTGACTTGGATTGATATTCCTAGATCCGTGAGGGCTCCTTTGGATGCCTTGATTTTTCAATATCCAGGGAAAAATCAATCTTGGAATTGAGATTTACTAGAATTCACATTTTTTGGAATATTGCTTTTTGGATCGCATTTGGGGGAATTAAAAAAAAATGTAAATTCCCTATTCGGATTGCTTGGAATATTATTTTTGTGGAAATGCAAATCTTTTCTCTCATTAAAATTTTTGAGATAGTTTCTCTCTTTAAAATTTTAATATACTCTTTAAAAAACTTAAAATTTGAAATCGGTTTTTTAAAAATTTTGAGGTTTTGCTTTATAAATTTCATATACACTCTAAAAATTAGATATAGTTTCTCTAAAATTAAGTCTTTTTCAGATTTTGAGGTACTTTTTAAAAATTTGATATAGTTTCTCTCTAAAATTAGTCTCTCTCAGATTTTGAGATACTCTAAAACTTGAAGTTTGAGAAAGTCTCTTCATAAAAATTTTGAGATAGTTTCTCTCTCTAAATTATTTCAGGTAGTTTCTCTCTCTAAAATATGATATAATTTCTCTCTTTAAAATTTTAAGGTATTTTCTCTATCTAAAACTTAAAATTTGAGATTGTTTATTTTTTAAAATTTTAAATATAGTTTTGCTCTTTAAGAAATTTTAGGTTGTCTCACTCTAAAATTTGATATAGTTACTCTATCTAAAATTTTAATATGCTTTTTCCCTCTAGAATGTAAATTTTGAGATAGTTTTTATAAAAATTTTAGGTAATTTCTTTTTAAAATTTTAATATACGCTCTCGTTAAAACTTAAAATTTGTGGTAGTTTTTCTATCTAAAATTTTTCAAATGGTTTATCTCTTTAAAAATTTTAGGTGCTTCCTCAATCTAAAATTAGATATAGTTACTCTCTAAAATTTTAATATGCATTCTCTCTCTAAACTTTAAAATTTGAGATAGTTTCTCTTTCTAAAGTTTAATGTAATTTATCTCTCTAAAATTTTAAGATACTTTATCTAAAATTTAAGTTTTGAGAGAGTTTCTCACTCTAAAATTTTAAACTCTCTAAAACTTTAAATTTGAGATAATTTCTCTATTTAAAAATTTAAATCTAAAAAAGTTTGTATATTTTCTCTCTAAATTTTTTTGTATATTTTCTCTCTAAAATTTGATATAGTTTCCCACTGTAAAATTTTACCAAGTTTTCTCTCTTTAAAATTTGATATAGTTTCTATCTCTAAAATTTTAATTTTAATTTTTTTACTCTTCAGCAGAAAAAGGCTTAAAATGAGCAATCATGAAGCTCAAAAAAATCTCAATTCTAAGTGAATTAAATACAATTGGTCTAGCTTTTCTCGGAAAAGTGATTCCTGAAAATCTGAATTCAATGAGCCAAAGGGGTTTGGCTCAATTGGGTAGGTTCCTAATCAAATTTGAACTGGATTAGTAATTTTTCACTGTGGAAATTTTTTTATACAAGTTGGAATCCTTTCAATAATGGATATAATTTGAAAAACTTAGTAGTTTCTACTTAAACTGTACATGACTAAAGTGTATTACAGTTTAACGTGCAGCTAAGTGGGGTTTTTGTTTTTATGAGATTATGGCCTGAAATTTTTGAGATCACGTTTGTCCTTATATCAAATATTAAAAGAAAATCATTTTGAGATGTTGAAATCCTAGGCCTTTACAGAACCCTTGTGCCAACCTTGGAGCAAGAATTGTTTCAAGCTCCAAATAAAAATTGATATGGAAAAAGTTCATATAATGTAGCAACTTTAAAATGTTTTATTAAAGTACACCTTAAAAATCCATTGAAAAAGGTTGTTTTGATATTGGAAAACGTTCTTATTGATCATCTTGATATATGAGTATGTAAAAAAATTAATATTTTGAGTCTAAAAAATAGCGCATCTTGCAGCACATTATCTAGAATATCTATTTTCAAGATTTTCATATGTTCATAGATCTACTTGAACTATTTTTTGAATTACAAATTCATAATTAAAAATAAAAATGGATTTTAAGGCCATATTAATAATTTCAACACCAAAATTACATCTTTGAAAGTGCAAGGATTGTTTAAGGCCGCAACCTTGTACAAACCACACCCAAATGATATTGGACATGACATGAGAGATTTAATTTCAAACATATCCTTTGAGATAGTGCTTTTGCCATGAGATTGAGAACAAAAAGAAAGCGTTTAATTTGGGCTTACGGGGCCAGCAAATCCTTTTCCAAATGTTACCATTTATTTCACAACTATCCTAGACAACATAATGCCAGACATATTTATTTTCCAAGAAAATTACAGAAACGTAGATTGACTTTGCATCTGGTGGATTTTATTTGGGGGAATGATTTCATGCAATGGTTGTATAGTAGTATAATGTAACTATATTCAAAAATTATGTTAGAGATATTTGTTTGACAGGAATTTTTAAATACATACTCTTTTCATTATGAAGAACAATAAAAAAAAAAAAAAATTGAAAAAATACTCTAGAAAGTTTTCATTATAGCCCAATTAATATAAGCCGTCCATTTCATTGAGATGGCTAGATATAGGCCTCAGAATGATTTTTTTATTCCCAAAATTTTTATATAGCATTATCATCATTAGATTAATAATATGCTAAAAAAGAAGAAGTGATTTTTAATTTGTTAAGGTCTAGATATTGAATTTCGCCAAATGGATGGTTGATATTCATTGTTGGATGGGTACTAATTTTGACCATATCTAGAGTGCAAATTGAAATTTTTTTTCGTAGGATTGATTATGAGGATGAAGAGAATGTGTGTGCAAAATTTGGGGTCATACAAATGCTAAAAATATAGTTTTCTAGAGGTGTGGTTGCATTATACTACTATACAAGCGTTGCATTAGATCATTTCCCTTTTAATCGGTCTAAATGTATGCTGCACGGAACACTATAAGAAGAGTTAGAAAAGTAACAAAAAGATAGAAATAACAAATGAATTCATATAAGGAAAAAGTTTCTTTAAGGTTGCAACTTTAAAATGTAGAATTACATATGCATCTCAAAAATCCATCGGAAAAGGTTGTTTTAATGTTGAAAAACCCTCTAATTGATCATTTCATGCATCATGCGACACATGATCTAGACCAACTATTTTCAAGATTTTCATATATTTATAGATCTACCTGATTTTAATCATTTTTGGAGTTTAAAACTTTATAATTAGATATGAAAATGGATTTCAAGATAATCTTAATAATTTTTTACACCAAATTTGCATGTTGTGATAAGATTTAGAGGCGCGCCTTAATTGAATTGTTTAAGGTTGCAACCTTATAGAAACCACACCCTTCATTTCAATGTTTATTTTTTGTCCTTTGTAAATTATGTCAAAATTCCTTTTCTCATAAATTAAAAAATAAAACTTTTAAAAAATACCATTGGTGGAGCACATTCATTGGATAAATTTTAGAAAAGAAACATCCTTACAATACGTCCATAGAAGCAAATATATTATTTAGAAGTAATTAAAAAAAATGGAGATTACTTTCTTGATTGTAGATGAATGCTTTTAAAAGTTTTTATTAAAATTAAAAAATATTGCACATTACTATAAAATTAGAAAATCAAAATCGATGAAGCACATTCATTATTGAAAATAAAGAGATATAGGTTAATTATTTTTAAAAAAATCCTCATAATAAGTTCATGATGGAGTGAATTCATTACTCACCTTGTTACAGAAGCATATAAAAATAAATTCATAAAAACAATTCTATTTAATTATTTTATTAATTTAGAAAATATTATTCATTACTATAAAGATCAACAAACAAATATAGAAGGAGTATATTCGTTATTGAAAATCATGGGTTATGTCAATTATTTTTAAAATATCCTCCTAATGAATTTATGGAAGCAAATTTATCACTTACTCTAATAAAGGAATAATAATATTCAAAATTTAAATATAAGAAAAATAGGACAACTTATCTTTAAAATTAAACATTTGTTGATTGAGAAGACTACCTGCATGAAAATTTTGTTAATGCAAGAATTTAGATATAAAGAAACTAATAATAAATTAAAGGCGTTGGAAGTTTTGAGAACCTGTCACCTAGTTGTTAAAACTCCATTAAAAATAATTAGGCCACTAAAGACCTAGTAATATTGATATCTACATATGATTCTTTCCATGTCAATAACATGATATTCTTAACTAATATGTTTATGTCTATAATAATTAGACATCTTGAATGAAAGGATACAATTTCGAACAAAAATTGCTTCTTTTTAGATAGAACACGAGTGAGTTACCTCGTTTTGCTCTGTACAACAGAGTAAACAAGGATGAACTACCTCTTTTCTATCTCTAAACTAGATAGTAACAGAGAACAGAACATGGTATAAAAAACCCATAGATAATTTGGATTCACACATGTAACAAATATAGTATATTTTCGCTAATAAATTATACATAGACATGTGCTCCTTTTTTTCCATATGCATGCATAACAATACA